GTTGTTAACTTGCTTGCTGCCAGTTTTGGTGACCGAGAGATCAAGGGTTTTAGAGAAAATGGTGAAAGAAACACAGGTATCAAAAACTGTGTTCAGCCACCTTAAGCGCTTAACCAACGCAACGGCAAGGCCATTGGCAGAATCAATCATTAAACGATATTGTTCTTATTTCGTGTCATGAAGCTATACTTCATGTTCACCCTTCTCTTTTTTATTTTGGTAGAGCTCTTTTCTAAGAAGTGGCTATTTTAGACCCGGCGGTATAGAAGTTGGTGCAGACAAAGGAAACACCAGGAAGAGAAGATCTGTGGATTCAACAGACGACTCAGACCCTCAGGGACTGATCCAGTCGCTCAAGGATGAAATCGAGAGTATTAAACGACCAAGTGGAACAAAAGCTAACCCTGCACGAAGTTGTAAAGATCTGCACTTGTGTCATGGCGACTTGAAAGACGGTGAGTGTTGCTGAAACCTCCAGCCGGGTGCTATGGATTTCCCATGTACCCATGTACCTAGTTAGGATCGAGGAGAAGTAAATGATAAACCGAAAGGTCCTGGTTCGAGAACCGGCCGGGTCAGAAATACACTTAAATCTCAAAGTGACTTAATCCATTCGTGATTAATAGTTGGTACTGGCGAACTGTCAATGAAGCTAGACTGGTTGCTGAAGAGGTTGTTCACTTGCGTGTTACTTGAATCAGTCCACGAGCACTCCTAGTTTATTGCTCTGGAAGTTTACCGAGACCAGCCCTACTGAAATTGGGGACAAGGCTCGTCAGAGTTCAGTCACCTTGCCTGAACTAAATCAACTTATGCTTCTTTCTTTTCAATAAAATCATTTAGGTTTGTATTGGATTGATCCAAACCACGGCTGTATCGAAGATGCTATTCAAGTGCACTGCAACTTCACTGCTGGCGGACAAACCTGTATTTCTCCTGATGTCAACACTAAGAAAGTATGATCAATACCTTTTCTTAGCGTGTAAAAATCCTTTTACTTACCCATTTCTTTCGTCCGTCACTGTCTTGTTTGCCATAGTCTCCCGTGCTGCCCTTTTTGCAAGATGTCTCGCAACAATCCCCGAGAGTCTTGGGTAAAATTCGACTTAGAAGAGAAGATCATTGTAAGGTTTCATGTTGCCCGATCTTTCTGTCTTTCTGCGACACTACAAGGGACTTTTTTACTAATTCGATAACCTTCCCTTAAAGAGATAAAATTGATTGTATTTTCGTCTTATGTCAAAAATGAACAGGCCGCTAACAAAAAGTGGAAGAGACTTACCGGATCTGATTGGTTTAGCGAGTACGAAGGTGGTTATGAGGTGATAATCGTTTTTCTTTGTTCATATTTATTTATTAAGCATTCATAAGTTTTTGATTGTTTGTTGGTTTGGTTGTTTCCCATTGAATAAATATGGTTTTAAAATTTTCAATTTTTTTTCCAGATTTCGTATACGGGTGTTGGTAAGACGCAATTGAATTTCTTGCGGTTACTGAGCGAGAAAGCAACACAAACATTCAACCTGACTTGCAAAGGATCTCAGGGGTGCTTCGACAGCAAGAGTAACGCATTGGAGAAGGCCATCAGACTACAAGGAGCTAATGATGGCGTCCTTTCTTACATGAAAAACGATCAAACCGTCAAGATTACACAGGTATAAACGGATAGCTATGACAAGCATGAAGATGACAAAGATTTAGCCAAGCCTTAGAATGCATCTCGGCTAATTAATTTTTTCTTCCGTTCATGCCGATCAAGCGAGGTATAGTTTTGCGCTAGGATAGACATACGCACTGGTATCGCTCGAGAACCAGTCTGTCACGGCGTGATGGATTACCATGGATTCTCAAATATGGGGCTCCTTTGGCGCACATACTTCTTAGGCGGTAGCTCCGCCATAGCAAGACGTGCCCGGTTGGTCGAGTACTCGTTACCCTAAAGAGTTTTTTTGTATTTCAGAGTTGCTAAATGATATGCAACATTAAAACCCCTTTTCAACCGTGTTCTTTGACGAGTAAACTTGCCGTCAAAATGAGGCCTACAAACTCTAAAGTTACTGCGAACGAAGTGAGCCTCTCAAAGGAGCCCATACCTAAGAACACCATGCAACAACATAGTTGGACAAATTAACCTCGAAGGAACAAGGATGGTCAACGGTTGGAGAGGATTGACACGCATTACATATGACACCTTTTTTTTTTTTTATTCTTTCCTTAGATCCGAGCAGACTGGAAAGCTGTTGTTCACGTGGAAACTGAAGACCTTAATCAAATGCCCATAGTGGACTTCGCCCCTGGAGAATTTCTGTCTTCAAATGAATTTGGTTTTGAAGTTGGACCTATTTGTTTTAGTTAGTTCTGGTTGTAACTCGGTGTCTTTCCTCTTTAAATTAACGCTCGAGCGAAACTATTAAATTAGATGTTTCTGTGAAAGTTATTTGGCTCCGCGTAGTGTTGTAGTTCTTTATCCTGTTCAAATAAATGTCGTCATAGAATTTCCTCAGTTTGCCATTGAAACACCAGAGACAAATAATCATAGTTAAATGTCATCCGTGTACAATATCTGTTATTAGCGTTTCGTTGAGGCTAAATACAGGAAAATATGAATAAATGGAGAGAAAGACTCCGGTTGAAACGCGTAAATACCTCAGTTACGCTTGGGTGTCTTTTTGTTCATTCTCGCGTCATGTTTGAAGCTGCAAGACGAAGAGGAACATTTGAAGAAGTGATTTCTAAAAAAACTAAGAGAGATTTTATTAAACTTTGTAATATTTTGTTGACTTCAAGGTATGGTTTGTGTCAGCAAGAAGTATATTTATCCGGAAATAAAGTTACCCAGTACATGAGGTTTCATCCCTTGATCGGCCAAGCACTGGTTCATTTCCAATTTGACTGCATCGTAATTTAAAAAACAAACAGACAAAAACAAAGCGAAAAACAACAAACAAACAAACAAACAGAAGAAAAAAAAAAACAGCCTTAAACAAATTCTCTCAGAGGAGCCGAGAAGTCGCATGGTCTGAAAACGCAGGCGATGTTCGTATTTGAACTAAAAAACAATTGGTTCCTCACACGGGTTCTCTGACAAGAGTCGGGGCACATGAGTAACCACCGAGTGCCACTGTTAGCTGTTTATGATGTAAGTAGCGTGAAAATGATTGCGTTGATGCAAGTTTTCATATAAACAGCAAAGGGGTAACGCCTTCGTTAATCCAATTCTAAAGTCATTCGGCTTTTCAACCTTTTAGATTTAAGTGTTAGTTCTCTCCAATGGTACCAATCATTACCGTTACACAAATCGACATTCAGACTACTTGGAAACGTATCGATAATGATATTGTCTTGAGAAATTACTTTTTTGATTACTCCGGGAGAGGATGATAGGGTGAAGTCGATTTGCATTCTCTCAGTCTGAAATACGACTCAGTGTGCTCTTATTTTTATGTGGGGAGACTGAATTGATATGATTTAAACTAGACGTAAACTTGAGGACATGTAACTCGATTGTGTGGACAAACCAGGGAACAAGAAAGTCAACTGTGTATAGAAATCAACTTGTTGTTTGAGTCAAAATTGACAATTGTGCAAAATTCAACTCATTCAATTCTAATTCTGTAAGACGGACGTCTATGAAAAGATAACCTATCAGACGATACCAGGTCAAGTGACGGAATACTTCCCCGCCAACTCAGGAGAGCCTTCAATTATGCAGCTACTGGCTTAAACTGAGGAGAGTTTCTATACTTGGGCCGTAAATAAAAAGGATTACTCTCGAATCACAAAAAATTTTCACTTTTTTGTGGTCGAGTGCCGATTCAACTTTGGGCGACAATGTGACCTTAGTAACCGTTCCATACGGAGCAAACTCACCCGGCCATATGTTTCGTGAGACTTGCTTTTCCTGTTCACATTTTGTAATAGACAGTTTCGTCTATACCGCTCCCAAACAGACATAAAAGATAACATGAACTGCTCCCTTATGTGATGTAAATAATTTCCATGATAAAAGAAACTGAATTGTCATAAATGACACATAAGAAAACTGTATTTTTCACCGTTATCTCAGCTGTCAGGTGACGTTGATAGTCTAATATTCATGTTATTAACCAATGTGACATTCAGTGGGATGGACCTTTTTTCCATAAGCTCGTTTATGTCTTTTGTAGAAATTCTTGTCACAGGTGAGACAATTTGAATAGGTGAAAACTAGATCGGCCGGCAGAAACTTCTTGAAATATGAGTAAAAGACTTTTCTTGAGTAAAATAACTCAAGTATTCACCCTCAGAAAAGTAAACAATGGGTTTTGAAAAATAGGTAGAACACGAAGCTTTACAAAGACAGTCTCTCACATTGTTTATTTTGGTTCCAATTTGTGTTTACTTAGACCTGCCATAAAAAAAACTTTCGGTATGTTTATTGCAATCATACTAGGTTCTCCGATCTCCCTAAGCGATCGACTTACTTTAAAACGTGCTAGTGGCGAGACTAAACAATTTCGAACTATCTGGATACAGCCTCATATCAAACTCAAGGGTGAATTTTAAGAAAAATGTACATCAAAGTGCTGTATGTTATGGGGATTATGCTGCCAGTAATCTTTTCAGACATTGTCGACTTAAACAGTAAGCTTATCATTTGATGTTTTTCACTTGTTACAGTTTAGAATTCGACAATTTCTTTTACATCTCGTTTATTTCTTTGCTCAACGCATCTTACGTTTTTACAAAAAAGGAAAAAAAAATACCCGAAAAACCTATCTATACCGATTTCTCAAAACAAGAGAGCAAAAGCCAGTTTTGACGAGGAATAGCTCTCACTTACCGAGTTCGAAATCGTACTGAAAGTTTTACAGACCGAGTATTTTCCCCATTGCTTATGGACTAAGCGCAAAAGAGTGCCCAGTGAGCAGTACGAGTTAGACGACGTAGTTAGTACGGCCTACTCCTACAAAACTCAAATGAAACTGAAAATCAAGTACAGTCTGTAGTGTGGAATGATTCAGCCGTGTGGCTCGATAGTGCTTTTAAACCGTTCACTTATTCAACCACGCCAATTCAAAATGACTATTGAAAAGAAAAACGAAAGTTTCATCCATCTTTAACCATAAATTTATCAAAGCACTTAAATTTAGTTTGCCACGGTAGGAGCGCGCCGTTTGAAATCAAGTTGCGCTATACCGCAGTACGGCACGGTAATGCCAGCAGTTCCAAAAGTAGTTCAAAGCGTCTAGTTACTCTTGTGCATGGCATGCTAATAGTGCGACGTTTGGAGCGGCAGGCCTAAGATGATTCTCATGTCCCTACCGATAAGTTTGGTGTTTCTGAAGAATGAATTTGCAATCACACGAAACGGCTTCATGCATGTGGCTGACAGACCAGCTTTAACTTCACAATTGAAATGAAAAAATGATATGAAAAAATGTATGACTCCATTTTCTCATGAAATGACTGATGAATAGTATATCTCTTTCCTCTTTGTTGTTTTCAAGATTTCTTTCTGGAAAGATAGAGATGGCTTGAAAGTTCAATATAACTCCTCGTTTACAGGTTTGAAATGCAAAGGACAGAACCCACCTGCCCATGGTAGTCTGACTTGTCATAAAGACACTGCCACTCAGGAAGTGTCGTGCACTCTGAAATGTGACCGCGGTTATGACGTGGAATTCCTCGCTGCTGAGCGGTATGTGTGTAATACTGATGGGACTTGGAGAGCCCAGCCATCATCCACTGGCCCCCAATGGCCGAACTGTAAAGAGTACAGGTGAATATGCACGGTGGAAAAGTTCAGAGTGACTTGATGTGTTCTTCCTTGTAAGCGATTTGACAGCCACAAACGGGACACACCATAATCTTCGACCTGGGAGCTAGCTGTTAAAGCATTCCCGCCAATTTGGATTCTTGCATAAGATTTAGCGTATTCGATCGTTGAATCCCCTCCCTTCTTTTTTCGCTTTCTTTATCAGTCGTGGTATAAAACGAGTAATGAGTCCATCAGTGACTAAAAATATCTGATCAATCCATTAAGCAAACCTCCCTCGAACCGTTCGTATGTCTGTTCGTTTCTCTATCCATGCATTCATTCATCCACCCAAATATCTACTTTTTTGTTAACCTCTGCAACTCTCTTTATTGATTAACACTGTCGAGGTCTGAAGTTATTTGAACACCTTAACGAACCTCAAGCGGCTTGAAAATTGCACGTACAAGACAATTCAAATGCTAGAAAATGAAATTGTTTCCTTTTCTTGTACGTTTCTTGTACATGTCATGTACGTTTGCCTTTGCGTTCCGTATTTCACACATGCATTTCCTTGCGTTTGCATTTATATAAGCTAGTGCGTCGTACGTATGAAACAAGCCTAATAAATCCTTTGATGATTTTAATAGCAAAGCGTCGGCACTGAAACAATAGGGACTTTAAGCAGTCAGGACGGCAACGCCAAGGAAGACTCCGATTAAAAAATGAATTTCTACTCTTAGTTAGAATTTCAAACATGGCTGCAGGAGCTTACAGTCTCATAGGCGCCACAGCTCAACTTCAGCATGAAGTATAAAAGTAGCGTTGAGTTCCAAATGAAAATTAAAATAATTTGCCGTCTGGTTTTCTGTTCGCAGACGACGCAAATTTTGGCGATTTCACGTTGTTGTTTTGCATAGGACGGCTAAGAAATGGGCAAAGTTTCAAAACGCACGTGCTGAGCTATTGTTCTGCCAATTAGATCTCTTGTTTTTCCACTTCCTCGTTGCCGTCGCCGTCGTGGTTGCTTAAGGTCCCTAATGACATACTTTGTTCTGTTTCAGCCGTGGAGAACCGATTCCATGATTGATGATTCAGTGAGACTGCATGGCAAGGCTGAGAATTGCAAATATAACACAGCTTTATGAAACCTCAATGACAACTTTCAAAAAGAGAGAGGTGCTTTAGTAGATTCTTCTACTGCAATAAACAGATGAATAAACAAATAACTCTCTGTAAAGAGACGACCTAAATGTTTAATTCACTGAATTGTTTGCAATCAGGTTTTCAGCCACGGAACGTTTCTGACAAAAGCAAAAATATTTCTCGACTTTTAACTGATTCTTCAAAGTGCAGCGCACGTTGAGGTTTGTTCCCGAAAGAAACGTATCTGAGACTGAAAGCACATATGGTAAACTTTATGAAAGTTTTGGTATTTAAGTTTGAGGTTTTTGGTCCCTGTAGAACTGACTTCAGGTTAAATTTTTCGAATATGCTTTGAAAGCTAACGAAATGACCTGGAGCGAATCTGACCACTGGGGCGAAACGACCTGGGGGGAAAGCTAACCAAATCCTCTTAAATTCGATTGTGCAGCTTTAGTTTAGTTCAAGCCCAAAGGTAGGGTGTTCTCGTCCTGTTTATTTGCCGTCATTTTGTTACAGACTATAGTCCACAAAGAATCAATCGAGTCACCCTACTGAAAATAATTGCTAATTCGGTAGACTTGTCACATTACGTCTCTCCGAATAGGTTTAACTAAGGAGGATTATTCTCTCTTGCGCAATGTCTGTGATCTTGACACTCATCTCAGTCCTTCTTAGTCATTTCTCACAGCTTTTAGAATGCATAAATTAAATCCTTAATCTTGCGAGGAACATAGACACCCACCAAGTAGTGAAACATCGTTTCAGCAGGCTCCACCATATTGGAGAGGGAATCCTGGAGGTAACTGACAGCCCACCAACAGCCAAGTAAACATGCAGTTGAGGCTGCTGCGCAACACAAGGGCACAGAGAGGACTACGACTAGGGCAAAGAGCCCCGCGCCAACCAAAGAGGACTCGGCTATTACAAATACAACAAAGGAAACGATAAAAGTGACGAAAACGAATCCAAGAAATAACATGCAAGGGACAGAGCCGGCCAAAAGGGCAGTGCTCACAAATAGAGCAGTCAGCGGTCTTCGCCTGTAGAATCTGAGCAGCCATGATAGACGAGAAAATCGTTTGTTCTTTGGGAGCTGTTTCTGCCAATTGTTATTTAGCATGGTCTTTGGTTTGTCGTCTAACAAGTTGAATCTGACTCTTCTGTGAAGGTTGTTCTCACTGAAAGTCCCTTGATCACGACTTGCCATAACCTTTGTGGAAAGTAATAAAGTACAATCAGTAGTTACCAATCAAGTATTATCAAGCAAAGCGAGCTGCATTAATTCCTATCCAGGTAAATAAATTTGTGGGCGATCCACAGTGTTTTCTATTTTGTCACTGCTAAAAAGCTCCTATGAAAAGCAATAAAAATACAATGTACGAAAAAAGAGACAAAAATTGGAAGGGATAACTAATGAAGTACCGTCTGAAGTGTCTTAGGCAAAAGAACAGCCTTAAATTCTGTTGGCAGTGCGAGCGTGTCGTGAGTTGAATTCTCATCTGACAGTTTTATATATTTTTGAATATTGCTAAATTCTTCGATCTTGTAATCAGAGAGAAAAAGCCTTTCGTGCATCAGGATTGATCATGTCACGTAAAGGAATGACAGAAAAAATATACTTAGTCACATAGAACAATGGATTAGGTTTTACGACGCAATATTTTGACCGAGAATGCAAGATGACTGACTTCGTGAAAGAAATAAACCTTTTGGAATGCTAAATTGATAAATAGTACATCTTGAACTGTCCAATCCGACTATTTGAATTTCGAATCTTGTGCCTAGAAGTCAATCATTTAACAAGGTAATTTCAGTGAATACTGAATTACGATCTAGAGAAGCGGCAGAGTAAATAACAGTTTCTGTAAAATAGTCTGTTTCTTGGTTCTAATTGGTGTTCAATTAGGCCTGCTGTAAAAAAAAATCCCCCTGGATTTTTATTACATACACACGAGGCTCTCAGATTTCCTGAAGGGGTCAAGTTACTGTGAGAGGTGAGACGTGCCAGCACGGGCGGCCCAAGCGTACTATGTGTGATATTGGGGTCTAAAGATCATTGACGGCCGAATATCAAATATATTAAGATTGAATTTTTTTATGCGTAAGCATGTGTTGTAAAAAAGGACAAACTGTAAAACGTAATAGAAAAAAAAAAAAAAGAAAAGAAAAGCGAGGAATATGACGTGTTAAGTCTCCTTACCTTTGCTTCGTAGCCGGCTTGTCGCTACGGAATAAAAGTAAGGAGATATAACACGTCATGCACCTCGCTTTTACTGTCCTTTTGTTTTTTTCTACTTCTTTCAATAATTTTTCCTTTCTTTACGGCACACGCTTACGCTTAAAATTTAATCGTGATTTATTAGTTGTTCCCGTTAATGATCTGTAGACCCCCAAATCACACACAGTACGCATGGGCCGCCTGTGGTGTTAGCATCAAGACCAGACATTATTGAAAACCCTTCGGAAAGCTAACTTGAAACAATTCTTCATTTTGTGCCGTATTATGTGACTGTTAGAATGTGGAATATGGTGTATCTAGAATTGAATTATTTGCCAATGTAATTTCGGAGATTTATATATTTACACTTCGAAACCTAGCACAAGGGCTGGAAGAACACAAATACGGTATTTGGCCGAAGGTCTACCTCGTATAACCGACATGACTTGGTAAATTTCATGATTGACCTTTCATATTATTAGTCTCTATGGATATTGATAAATAACAACAAATCGAAGTATTTTTTTACCTGAGAACTAAATCTTCGTCATACAGACATCATAGTCCTTCCTTTGCAGTAAGAATTTACCTCGTCTTGATGACGTCAAAATTGAATGAATTCATTAAAATGGACTTGCAAATCAATTAACTGAACGTCAGCGCAGATGTTGTGCGCGTGAGCTGAGCGTGGACTGGAAACTTTTCCCCAGGACTCTTCATCTCTTCCTCAGCTGGAGGCTCATTTGCTAACCAAAACTGTTGAAAGTTAAAGTAGCTGAAATACAAATTCAGTCGAACGTGTATTAAGCGGTCACCCATAGGAAATGATGGGGTGACCGCTAAAACCCGGTTGACCGTTCAATTCAGGTTACCAAGCAGTAGGAGTGTTATAAAAAACAATAAACAACGCCATGTTTAGCCATAATTGCCCACTGAATGTTCAAAATTTCGCCCAAAAATACCACATACACTGATTTCCGGAGATAGACATGAATTAAAGTTTGCTTAAAAAGATTGTTTTTAATTTTATTTTAGCGGTTGTGCTTTAAGTGGCCGTTTGATACAGGTGAAGAATAATAGAAACAGACCTTTGGGACTTATCAAAGAGTCACCACGACTTCCTGATAGAGGTGACCGCTTCGAAAAATTACAGTGATAAAGGTGAAAAAATTTAGGGACTTGGAAAACCGACCGCTTAATTCAGGGTGACCGCTTAATGCAGGTTCGACTGTGCCTGAAAATCAATTACCGTCGCATACCTTAAGACAGCCTTGCAAGTGTTTTCTGGTGGTTTTAATACTTAAATCTTTCAGTCATAATTCACTTTCTATAAAGGCGTAAAAGACTTTTCAATAGTTCAGTAACTTGGAATGATGCCCCTTTAAATGAGAACTAAAGAAAAGGAGCTGAGCTAAAGGATGTCTTTATACGAAGCATCGTTTTTGTTTTTGTCAGCCGTTTGTCTTCTTTTTTATTTATTTACGTCTTTCGTGAAACAACAGCTGGTGCAAAATAGCGACGGGCGACCATTTCGAAGATTCCAGCGCGTGTATCTGATTGTGTACCTGATGGCACAAGGTGACAAAATATAATTTTGTGCTGATCATGCTTAAAAAATATTGTTTTGATAAATGATAACCTTTCTTTTTTAAGGAGAAAGGGCCTCGTTCGGGAACTAATTTTTTCTTTACCTTTGACGCGGCTTGGTAAGGTTGCGGTCCACAAGTCATGGTCACCAGTTGCACATTGGCCAGTGTCTATTACGCTTTAAACCAAAACACAGATTCGTGCACAGTGCTACGTTTAAACTAATGCATAAAAACAGATTTGCCTTGTATTGAGTTTTATCAATTATCATTGAAGGATACGACCGAAATTACACCAATATCGGCTACTTCGTTACAGGGTGATCTAATGTTAAAAGTTTATCAGGTACCCTGAGGAATGCCACAGACAAGTAATTTGCCATTAAATATTGTTCACAAATGTTTCAAGCACGTCGCTAATACAACTAATAATCTTGGGAGAAAGATTAACAGCGAAATTTAATTTTAGTCAATTGATTTTTGTTGTTGTTTTCGATGAAATATTGTACTTGGTTCTTATTAACGCTGTGAGGTCTGTACCATCGACCGAGGTCAAGATTCTCCCATACAGACCGACCTAGCTCGGTTAATAAGATGTTTATTATATGGCTGTCTTATATGCCAATTTTTTATATTCTTTGTATCTTTTTTTCAAGACCGGTCTAGATGCCAGTCAAGATGGGAAAATCTAGACCGCTTTCAATATTGATTTCAGCCAATCAAATTCGTGAATTCGGTAGTTCCCAGTCCTTGTGAGACACAGCCCAGTTTCTCAGCCCTCAGGGGTCATTTCGAGTCGATGCTTGTCTAAAGGAGTGGTTGCTGAGCAGATTACTTCAAAACAAGCATGGCGGCTAAGGACGGCTTGCTCATCCTTACAGAGTTTGAAGAATTTCAGGCAAATTTTCTGAAAAAATTGCAGACTGAGGGCCAACATCTGGCCGCCGGCTAACGAGTATATATACTTCTATTTATGTAAATCTGTGCATTTTACCCAGTTGTTTGAGCGGACCGTGCGCATAAGGACTTATGAAAAACACGGATTTTCATCCTAACCAAATGGTAAAATCTGATGATCAACTATTATCAATATATGACTGTAAGCTAAGTGTGGGTCCAAAAGTGATGCTCATTTTTTGCTATTTTTGGGTCCAGTTGTTAACTGTTTGATTTATGATTTTAGGAGCAGACTGGCTTCAGGGTCCACATGTCTACGCATTATTTTCCAGTTATGGAATGACATCCAAGCAAATCAACCAGCTTTTTATGGTAGGGTTTGGTTCCTCCATGGTTTTTGGTACAGTTGTGGGCTCATTTGCTGATAGACTGTAAGTTTGTAATTCTGGTTTGTTGTCATTAATTATATTTTGTCATCTTTACATTTATAAGGACTAAATCCAGAACTTTTCTATATCAAAACACGCACAAAGAAAAAATTATTAGTCAGGGCAGCTCTCAGGGTAAACAATACTTGTGGAAAATTAATAAAATTCTATAATTTTCTTTTAAAGAGGAAGAAAATTTAACTGTGTTCTCTATGGAGTGTTGTATGGGGTGGATTGCCTGACAAAGGTGTGGTGACATTGAAATAGTCAATTTTATCATGGTTATTTTATTTATTTATGTGCCATAATTAGACATGCTAGCCTAGTTCAGCCTTTAAGGTGACTAAATGGGGGCCTGTATAAACGATAACAAGGCCAGACTACAGTGCCAGGAGCTATGTTCCCAACTCTGAGAGGGTGCAGGGGTTCTTTAATGTCCCCTGCTAACCAGTGCAGAGAAGATGCAGGGGCCTATGGTTTATTTTCCCTATCTGAGAAGACTACAATTTTTTGCAGATGTCACAACAAAGGTAGCGCATTCGCCACAGTTATTTTAAGACCTGTCAGTTTGAAGCTTGAACCCTTGACCTCCCACACAAAAGGGTAGTGAGTGGTAGAATGGGTCAGGCACTTAATACGAAAAGAAATGCCATGGAGTCCACTTTTTATAAAAGTCCTAGTAACTTAACAGCCCAGAAACTATAATCTTAAATCTAAAACTTACCAACAGTAGGTCTTGGCTCACCGGTCTTGGCTCACAAACCAACCATCTGTTTGGCTGGTATGAATACCCTACAGTCAATTGCCTTTAAGTCTATTATACTTTGACAATACTCCTCTTAAAAGGGTTATCATTTTAATCTCATTTCTGCAGCATATACCCAATTACTGGGTGTTGTTGGTTGGTCGTGTGGCAGGTGGAATGGCGACATCCATTCTCTTTAGTGCTTTTGAATCATGGGTAGTCTGTGAACATGGCAAGGTATGTTGGGAATTATTGTCTGAATGTTAGACTAAACAGAATCATATTTGAAGTCTTTTCAGCTGGTATTGTGAAATTGTGGGAATGTATCCTCGTCTCTCACTGCAAAATTGAAGGAGCTAAAGTGAATACACTATATCTAAAAATGAAATCTGGCTATTGTTGAACAGAAAACTTGAAACTTCTTAACAGAGGGTGAATTTACTTTGATCTGATGAAGAGTTAACCCTCAAAATGTCAGCTTTGATGCTCTCTATGGTGGTGGCTAATTTACATTAATATTATTTAGATAAAACCCAAAGGACCTTGTTACTCCCACTGATGCAGCACCTCAGTTTCTTTAGAAACTTACTTCCTTTGTTTAGTTGAATTTACTAGATACCTAACTTTTATGCAGGATATATCCAAAGTCACTTTTATGGGAGCCATTTAGAAAGCTTTACAGGAGGCTGGAAGATTTGTCCAAACTATCTGGGAGACAGAAAATCCAAGTAATTTGGTATATATGTGGAAATTATGCGATTAACATTGAGGGCAATCTTTATTCCCTCACCCTCTTGGGACCTGGAGAAAAGAGGTATTGAGTTTGAATCAAAATAGAACTTTTGATTTGTAAACAAGACCTATACAGGATTAACCTGATGCTGTGTCCATTCATTTCAGCAAGGATTTAGTAAAGATTTGCTAAGTGACTTGTTTTCAAATGCCATCCTGGGGAACTCTTTGGTTGCCATCATCTCAGGCCTGGTTGCTCAGGTTTTTGCTAGTCATTTTGGTTTTATGTAAGTTTATGTCAGACATTTAGCTTTTCACCTGTTAAGAAATTCACATGGCAAACATTCTCTGATAGCCAGAGTGTGGGAGACGAAGTGACTCAACAGTTTGTATGCTGGACTTCAGGTCCAATGTCATGGCTTGAGATCTGGGGTGGGGTGGTGGGGGAGTCATTTTATTGTATTCTTGGCCAAGACACTTTACTCTTTCAGCACATTTCTCCACCCAGGAGTATGAATGAGTACCAGGACCAGGTTTTTCAAAGCTTGGTTAAGGTAACCCAGGATTAGTGTGAAATCTGATTTGAGATCTGAAAGTTAAAAAAAAAAAAAAAAAAATCAGTACAATTCTTTTTATCTACAATTTGATGATTGGCTGCCCTTTAAAGAATAGAGAAAATTATCCATGAAAGGCTTTCGAACAAATGGATAAAGAAACCTGGATTAATATTTAAACCTGGGTTAGTGCTAATCAGCCTACAAACAACCACACCCTATAACTAGAAGACTGTCAGGGAAGCCTGATAAAATGCTGGTGTGGGGGAGGGGAAGGGGGTAACCTAGATTGATTAGCCTTTTAACCAAGAATCAGGGAAAGCAGAAATTCTCCTTATTGCTCCATACCACAAAGACTGGGATAATGTATGGCATGCTATGGCAAGTTGACTGTAGACCTTACCTTTATTAAGCTGAGAGTTGCCAAAAGGGGTTCCAGAGAAATGAGGTCAAAAAAATCAAGGTGTTTCCATCAAAACTTTCATTTTTTATTTGGAATGTACTTTAAGAAAAACTGTCCAATACCACAAACCACAACGTCCTCCTTGTGTAGGTGATACAATTGTTCTTTGTCACTACTGAACTATAAGCAGTTTGACAAAAAAGATGCCTGTTAACATTGCAGTGCTCCATTTAGTCTGTCGTTTGTATTACTGGTTACCATGAGTGGAATTATCTGTTGCTGCTGGACAGAGAACTATGGAAATATTACCAGTGACACAAGGCTCTCTGTAATTCAGCAGGGAATACAAGGTATAAGACAAGGTCAGTCCAAAAAAAGATCAATTAAAGTTTTTACCCTTATGGTTCTTTCTGTAGTATAAACTATCCTTTGGTTGTGAGTTTTCATCAAATCTTTTTTTTTTTTTTGTTATTAGATCCAAAAGTTTTTTGCCTTGGACTGATACAGTCACTATTTGAAGGATCTATGTACTCTTTTGTGTTAGAATGGACCCCAGCTCTCACTCCTGGTAAGTTTTCATATGAATATAGTGAACCCTTTAACCCCTAGGGGTGATTAGCATCTACACGCGAGGATACAGGAAATCAATGATCACCAGGTAAAGAAGCTCTTGATTGTTAAATAAATTCTCCTTGTCAGCACCTAAGGAAATGAATGGAGAACAGTAAGGAGAATATGCATTCTGATGGTAGGGTGGAAAGGGTTAATACATGTACACATCTGTGGGGGAGGGGTGGGGATAAGTTTATATCTCTGAGTAAGTCTGTACTCAAGCCAAGTGACCCCCCCAGCTAAAGCTTATCCTGATTTCTTTAGCATGAAGTAACTAAGAGTATCACTGCTCCCCCCTGGATTGGATGCTAGTCCATCGCAAGGTTACCCCTTAGCATTTCATGTGAATGGAGAGAGGCACTGTGAGTGTTCAGTGTTTCACCCTTGAACACATCCTGCTGATCCAGCAAGGTTTTAATCTGGACCTCTCCATCCACTGTCCATAAATAACATCTCTTTCTCTTCAGCGGCAATAAAAATTGAATAATGCAACATGATCACTAGATGAAAATCAGCTGTTATTATACCCCTGTGCATTGTTTTCATTGGTAACTTTTAGACTCGCAAGTTGGCATAAAAAATGTTGACCATGACAACATTCCACATGGATGGATATTTGCGTCTTTCATGGTAAAGTAAAGAAAAGAATTGCAATTGCAAATACTTGTTGACAAGAATTGCCTATCAGACAAATCAGAATTTCTTTATAAGATATGATCTGTATGAGTGTGAAAAAGGTAAAGATTGCTCTTGCACAATTAAACTACTCAAATTTAAAGAATTTTGTCTCCCTTTTCTTTTTTGTTTGTTTGTTCCTGTACCATGAATAACAACTGGCTGGTGATTTGAATTGGTATGACTAAATAGAGTGAAAATTCATAGTTCATGAGCCAGTTAAGGTTGTGATCCAAAAAATTGTTTTTTCTTTAAAGATGTTTTCTTGTTTCAGGTGTCTGTAATGCTTGGTTCACACGTCTTCAAGTTACTTTATAGACTGACTTCTGTTGAGTCCTTGTTGAGGTAAAGTGCATTGTAGTATTGTATCTTGAACTACCTTTTGGTTAAGCCTGTGAGCTGCCCCTCAATATTATTGCTTCAGCACAAGCATATTTTTTCCAGCATCAGCAAAATATGAGGCATTGAGCAATGTAAAGGTGTAGTCTGATCGTCTGGGTGAGTGTAGTCCTGAGAAGGACTGTTGTCCGTGGTAGTGACTGACGTTTCGACAACCTGTGCGGAAGTCATCATCAGAGTCAAGTGAAAGTGAGCAATGTGAGCTGGCAAGGGTTTAGTGCCACACCCTTAGCAAGACCTCTCCCCAAATTGTCTCAAATCTTCAAGTGGGCAGAGTATCAGGCATCCTGCACAGTTTATAATGAGTGTATGCGAGCAGGCTACCTTTTGGTTATGCATTAATAGCGTATGATTCTTAGCATTTACATGCAGTTATTGCACAGCTGACAATATACCTAGGGCTCAGTTTTCCACGCCTTGTGCGTTACTAGTAGTTTGAGTCAAGTTTAGGTTAGAGTGAAGGATTTTTAAGGTTATCCTGCAAGAAGCAATAACTTCAAATTGTCACCAGATAGATCCTCATATGTAAATCATTGTGCTTGTCGTTTACAAGAATACAAGGAATCCGGACACATACAAGTTGTTATTTTTGCCAAGCATAGCAGGCCCCTACACATTGCTATACTTAAGTTGAGATCCACTGCACTAAAACTTCCATATTGGGGTCTTGAAATTAAGATGCTACTGACCCTTGGGGCTGAATTTATCAATATGATTAAAAGGTTTTTAAAACTTGATGGAACAGTGAATTTCAATTAGAAAAAAGAACTTGAACAATTGGACAGAGTTCACTGTAGAAGAAAAGTCTTAAGAGATGTTGTTATATAGTGGCCATTAACAAGTATGGTTTTTTTTTTTTTTAATGGACACAAACTTAAAGGGGAACTGAACCCTAAAAATGAACCATTTTTAAATTGCAGCTTATAGTTCAAATAGCAATGTTCGGGAGTTTTTTTACAGTCTTTGGGCCTAACTTCGCCTCAGAAAAATAGTTTAAAGTGGTATTTTGGCCTCGTAGTATGGCGGCTCAGAAAAGCGATGTCAGCAGTCATTTTAGCTCGCTCTTACATCACTGGTGGGGAAGAAAGATAATAAACCCGTACTCTTCCTACAGAAATTTGGTTTGGTTATGGAGTTATTGAAGTTGTGTGACCTGTAATGGGGATTAACTACGAAAATGAAATAGTAACAATTGTTTTTCTTAAAGTGCACCTACACCCAAAACATTTTTTTCGCTTAACGAAGTAAGCTTATTTTTTTGAGTATTTCTGCGCAAAAATTTTTTTATTTGCTCAAATCTTCAATTTTCTATGCCCAGTCAAAATACGGAAAATCGGCCGCCATCTTGCCCCACGACCGAGTTTAAAGAGGAATGGCTCTAGTGGGTAATGTGACGTCAAATCGAGAACACGAAAGTCTGCATTTCACACATTTTCACTTGTTTGGGAAGGTTGTAGTCGATAATTGTCCGAAAATATGCCGACTAAGTGTGTTGTAGAAGGATGTAGCAACGTGCGAAATTTGCAAGAGGGTATCGCGCTTCATACATTCTTCATACAACACACCTAGTCGGCATATTTCGGACAATATCGACGACAATCTTCCCAAACAAGTGAAAATGTGTGAGATGCAGACTTTCGTGTTCTCGATTTGACGTCACATTACCCGCTAGAGCCATTCTTCTTTAAACTCGGTCGTGGGGCAAGATGGCGGCCGATTTTCCGTATTTTGACTGGGCATAGAAAATT